GCAGCTCAGCTCAAGATGCTGAGTTCAGTCTTAGTTGTAGGTGGGCGTAGCCCACCATCGAATAGGCAATCTTGTTACACCAGCTGAGCCATCGTGCCACCTGTTGGCAGCTCAGCTTGGGCACAGTGTCACTGGCCCATGTGGGAATTGAACAGGCAACCCTGTTGCTCAGAGCTCACGCTCTTAGACTAACTCTTAACCAACTGAGCCACTCAGCTGGCACAATAGTTTTTATTTTTCCAGTTGATTGGTGTGACTGTAGGTTTTATCTTGCAGTAGTTAAGTTAAAATCAATCTCGTTGATTTTAGCATCCACATGAACATAATTTTGATTCACATAGACAGAATAAGTCATGGTGTCCAAATGTTTCACAGACACTTACTGTTAAAAGCTCCAGCAGCATGAAGGCCAAGGTCAAAGAGATGTGAAGGAAGGAATTGTGTAGAATGAGCAAGAGGCTCAGACCCCACAGCAGAAGGCTCCTGTGACATGAGACTGGCATTGTGGCTCCCAAAGGCAGTCTGGCATTCTTGGGTAAATTCATTAGTACTTGAAGAAACAGGACTTAGGAGGTTGTTCAGAAATGAGAATTCCTTCTCAAAATCATCTTCCAGTGAATCTACAGGTAAATCTTTTGTAACTGTTGAGTGAAAATAAAAACAGAATGGCTTTTTTCTTCTTGAATAAATGAGAATAGGATGTAGGGCAAATCAAATTTGTTTCATTGCTCTCATATTTTATTAACATAATTTTTAATAAACTGATTGGAAAAGCATTTCTAATTAGGTAAGCTGTGTATCAAAATGAGCACATTAAACAATGAAGATATATGAATATGTATGAAATAATTAAGCAACCACCTGTGTAAGATGGAAACTACAAGAGATGCAAGGAGAAATACAAACAAATTAATTATAGGAGACTCTAATTTATCGCTCAGTTAAAAAAAACAGAAAAATAAGATCTAAACACCATAATAAGATATTTTGTATATATACAAACCCTTATAGAAAAATATACCTTCTTCTCAAGCACACATTGAAAATTCCCAAAAATTAATTATACTAAGGCACACAAAAATATTGGTGAGTTTCTTAAAGAAGAAATATTACAAATATATTCTGATTACAATACAATAAAATGAAATAATTTAAAAAATGAAACAAAAACTCCAAAAGGCTCTTCGACCTGCAAATTTTTAATACCTAGTATTAACTCTTGGTTGAAAGGGAAATGGAATTTCTGAAAAATAGTGATAAAAATTATAATTTCAAATTATAATCCATGGGATATTTAAGTCACAATTAACAGGAAAAATAATGACCCTAAACACCTTCATTAAATAAAAATGAAAGAGAGGGGTTTCCAGCATGATAGAGTGAGGAGGTCTATGGATCTGCACATCAGATTTTAAATAACTGGTGGAAATTATTTTAAAAACAACCATTTAAAGTCTCTAGAAATTGTTCCAAGGACACACATCAAATGAAGAAATGTTTGCTCATGGAAATCAGGTAACATTTAGAAATAATGAGAGACTGATATTTGAACTAAGAACCACTCTCTTCTTCCCTACTCCCAGTTCAGGAAGATGGAAGTCACTCTAGCCTAGTGCAGCCAAGAACATAGGGCTCCCTTTCTCCACAGCTCTCAGCCAAGAGCCATCTTCCCAGGAGGGGCAGAAGTCAGTATTTCATATCCTGTCCACAGTTACCTGTTGCTAAGGCAAAGTCCAGGGGAGTGCAGTCAAGAGGTGGAAACTCCCATTTCCCTAGACATTAAGACCCCAGTCATGGGCTGGAAACTGATTTGGGTGTGGCATGTTGAAAATATGGAGGCCCCAATCACTTGACCCTGCCCATAAGGTGTTTCATACAGGAAGAGGCAAGCCCAAAATACCTAAGACTACTGTCACCCTCCTCACTTAGCACTCAGTTCCTACAAGATGTCAAAGAAAAACATGTTTTCACCCCTGCATCAAGCCATGACTCAGGGATTTTGCCTGGAGGGAGAAACTATCAAGTATATAGCTCCTAATCTTTCCCAAAGGAAGTATCTTCACTTGCAACAGAGTTTGGAGAAATTCAAGCTTAAGGATGCTCTCAAAAACAGTGGAGGTTATGGTGAAAGGCAACTGGGAGGAGATCGGTAGATTTCACTGGACAATGAATTAGATTTATTTTAGGCTAACTAGTTTACCTGAAGGAACCTGGGGAAAAAGTCAGCAGGGAAGAACCTGCCTAGGGTAAGAACAAATCTCAAACATTGATCTTGGGAACTATCCTTTCACAGAAGTCCAAATTTGATTGATTTTGTCTGTAGAACAATTTAAGGTCCAGGGCATTCTTGAAAACAATAGAACAAACAGTTGGAAATTAGTAGAGTTTTACAGCTGGGTGTAGTCAGGGAAAGAGACTGTTAAAAAGAACCTCTCCAAAACCACTGTCACCCCAGGGGGACTGTGGGTATAACTAAGCCTGCATCCCATGAGGAGTTCCACTAGTGGAAGAACAGATTCCACTGAAATAATCCAGCCTGTCATTAGACAAATAAATAATAACAAGCCTCAGAGGGGAGGACTAGTAGACAAAGTTGCGAAAATATATTATCTAAAATGTCCAGTTTCCAACAAAAAATAACAAGGCATGCAAAAAAGTGTGATTCATACACCAGCAAAAAGGCAGGCAACAGATACTGCTTCTGTGAGCAATCAAATGTCAGATTTAAGAGACAAAGCTTTCAAAGTAGTCCTTATAAACATATTCAAAGAACTAAAGGAAAGTATGGTTAAGGAAATGAGATGATAGATGTGTTAATTAATTAGATGGAGAGAATCTTTTCACAATGTATACATATATCCACAAATGTATACTTTAAATAGCTTACAATTTTATCTCAATAAAGCAGAAAACTTTTTAAAATCAATCTTTAAAAAAAGGAAGGTATGATGACAATGTTGCATCAAATAGAGAATATCAATAGTTAAGAGATCACAGGAAAACCAAATAGAAATTCTGAAATTGAAAAGTGCAGTAACTGAAATGAAAAAATCACTACAGAGGATCAACAGTAGATCTGAAGTAGCATAAGAAAGAATTAGCTAACTTCAAGATAGACTGGTAGAGATTATGCAATCCAAAGAATAAGGACAACAAAAGAATAAAGAAAAATGAACAGAGCCTTAGAGAAATGGTGGGCCAATATCAAAGTACCAGTATTCACATAATAAAAGTCTCAACAAGATGGGGGGTTGGTGTTGAAGAAATAATGGACAAAATGTCCCAACTTTGTTGAAAACATCAATCTACTCACCCAAAAAGCTTAACAAAACACAAGTAGAATCAATACAAACAGATCCTTATCTAGATACATCATAGACGAACTATTGAAAGCCAATGACAGAATCCCCACATTCATGGACTGGAAGGATCAATATAGTCCACATGGCAATTAACTCCAAATTGATGGATGAATTTAACACAATACCTATGAAAATCCCAGTAGGCTTTTTTTTTTTTGTAAAAATGGACAAACTGATTGTAAAATTTATATAATAGAAATGCACAGGGATTAGAATAGTCAAAACAATTTTGGAAAAAGAACAGAGTTGTGGATTTACACTAATTTCAAAATTTAATATAAAGCCACAGTAATCAAGATATTGGGTTGTCGGAAAAGTCATGATGAATTTTTGCAACAAAAAAAACAGAAAAAATATGTCATGACTTTTTCGACAACCCAATAGTATGGTACTGAACAAGGATAGGTATATAGACCAGTTGGACAGAATTTAGAATCCAGAAATACATTCTTACATGTTTTGGTCACTTGATTTCAACAAAAATGCCAAGAAATTCAATGGAGATAGGAGAGCCTTTTCAACAAATGGTGCTGGAACAACTGGATATGCATATTCAACAAACAAAAACATTGAAAAAAACTTAGATACCTAACGCCATACACAACAACTGACTCAAAATTATTATTCTTACGTGTAAGAGCAAAAATTATAAAATTTCAAGAAGAAAACAGGAGAAAAATCTTTATGACCTTCGGTTAGGCATAATTCTTACATATAACACCAAAAGAACAATCCATAAAAGAAAAAAATAGTAAATTTGACTAAATAAAATTTTTAAACTTGTGTTTCTAGAGGCAAAATTAAGAAAATAAGAAGACCAAGATAAAATATTTACAAGTCAAATATCTGAAAAAGTACTTTTTTAAAGAATATATTTAAAAATCTTGCAAGTTAGTGGTAAGATAAATGACCCAATTAAAAAAATAGTCAATCAGGGCCGGCTGAGTTGGCTTAACAGTTGGCTTGGTCTGGTCAGAATGGCTATCATCAATAAATCAACAAACAACATGTGCTGGCGAGGCTGTGGAGAAAAGGGAACCCTGTTGAACTGTTGGTGGGACTGCAGATTGGTGCAGCCATTATGGAAATAAGTATGGAGGTATCTCAAAATACTGGAAATGGAACTACCGTATGAGCCAGCAATTCCACTCTTGGGTATCTATCCAGAGAGACCCAAGACGCTAATTCAAAAAAATATATATGCACCCCTTTGTTTATTGCAGTGCTATTCACAATAGCCAAGACTTGGAAACAACCGAAATGCCCATCGGTAGACGACTGGATTAAGAAACTGTGGTACATTTATACAGTGGAGTATTACTCTGCTATAAAGAAGAATGAAATCGTAACATTTGCAATGATATGGATGGACCTAGAGAACATTATGCTTAGTGAAATAAGTCAGTCGGAGAAAGACAAATATATGNCTGTTCCCTCCCCCAATTCCCCAATCAAATCTTTAAAAAAAAGAATAAAATTAATCAAGGAAGAAAAGGGAGAGGGAACAAATAAATATCTGGAATTAGAAAGGGGGCATAATTACAGATACAGGTTTTACAAGATAATATTATAAATGGTGAAACTAGAACAATGTCCATTATATTTCATTTGTGATTTAAAAAAATGTTCTTTATTTTGGTACAGGGATTATACATGCACAAGCAGCTAACCATTTTGAACATACATTTGAAGCTATGTTAGATATACACGTTCATGACTATGATGGCTTCTTAAATTGTTTTATCAGTATGATCTACATTTATGTGTATACTTAAAAGTATCTTCCACACTTATTGGACACCTACTATGTGCAATATAGTTTATAAATACTATCTCTAGCCCTAGTGTCCCTGTAAGGTAGGAGTATGACTCATATTTCACATGAGAAAAATGAAAGAGACATAAATGACTTGTTTTTGAAAAAGCCAGGATTTAAACCCAGATGTTTCTAACTCCAAAGCTAAAGTAATTCAAATATATGTTGACTGTGTGTGTGTGTGTGTGTGTGTGTGCGCACGCGCATGTGTGTATAATATATATATATATTATATATACACACACACACATATATATATATATATATCTTCATTAAAAAATAACAAATTTAAATATGAGGGAAAGCTTGAAACAATTATACAATCCTGTGAAATGGATGTTTACATTAAAAGTACTTAGAGAAGACCAGAATTCCCTAAAGAAGACAATTCAACCCTCTAGGTATGGCTGGAGAACTCCAGTATTTTTTTAAGCACAGCCTCTAGTCCTGCCTGACCAGGAAGCCTGGACTTAGCCCCTGGGCAGTTACGNGTGAGTCGACGGTGACGGCGTAAGCTGCAGTGGGCTACCATAAGCTACTGTGTATGGCCGGCGGCCGGCCTGAGCTGCCAAGAGCCGCCATGAGTGACTGTCCAGTAGCTGGTGACCGATCTGCCTCATCCAGGAAGAGCACAATGATAAATACCAACATGGGCCAGTGAAGCGACGTCCTCCACAACTAGACTGAAGAACAGAAGGACAGCAACTTGTCTGTTCCCCTTCCCCAATTCCCCAACGTTGTTCCCCTCCCCTAATTCCCCAATAAAATCTTTAAAAATAAATAAATAAATAAATAAATAAAAAATGGTCAATCAATTTTAAAAGATTTGTCAACAAAGAATATATATAGGTGGCCAAATAAGCACATGAAAAGATGCTCAACAACGTAAGTCACTGGAGAAATACAAATTAAAACCACAAATTAAAAGCACTAAATGTATATGATAAAAAGACAGACAATACCAAATGCTGATGAAGATGTGGTGGAGAAACTAGAACCCTCATACTTCGTAAGTGGGAATGAAATGATACAGCCATTTTGAAAAGCAGTTTGGAGTGTTCCTTAAAAAGTTAAATTCAAATTTATCACATAATCTAGCAGTTTCACTCCTAGGAATCTGACTAAGGAAAATGAAAATAGATGTCCATAAAAAGGAAAGTATTTGAATGTTCATAACAGCAATATACAATAGCCAAAACCTGGAAACAATTCAAATGTCCATCAAGGGGTAAATGGATAAACATAATGTGGTATATCTAGAATAGAGAATACTATTCATCAACAAAAAGTAATGAACTACACAATAAGCAAAATGTGGTATATACTTATAATGGAATAGTATTCATCCTTAAAAAGGAAGGAAATTCTGCGATACGTCACAACATGGATGAACCTTGAGGATACAATGCTAATTAAAATAAGCCAGTCATAATAAAAAATTTCATTTAGATGAGGTATTGGGAGTGGTCAAAATCATAGAAACAGAAAGTAGAATGGTGGGTGTCAGAGGCTGGGGAAAGGGGGGAATAGAGAGTTACTGTTTAATGGTATCGAGTTTCAGGTTACACAAAGAAAATAGTTATTGAGGTGGATGGTCATGATGGTCACACAACATTATGAATGTATTTAATACCACTAAACTGTATACTTAAAAATGGTTAAGATAGTAAATTTTATGTTATATGTATTTTACCACATTAAAAAAAAATTAAGGCTTTGGAAAAAAGTAATGAACTACTGCTATATACAACAACATGGATGAATCTATAAAACATTATGCTTAATGAAAGGCACAAAAAGCCAGACAAAAAAGACTACCTTTTGTATAATTTAATTTATATGAAATGTCAAGGAAAGGGGAATTTATATATAGAGATATCAGATTAGTGATTTCCTAGGGTAGGGAGTGGAAGCAAGGATTAACTGCACACAAGCATAAGAGAATTTTTAGGGTAATGAAAATATTCTAATAGTCAATTGTGGTGCTGATCACAATTCTATAAATTTGCTAAAAATCACTGAATTTTACTCTCACAATGGGCGAATTTAATGATATTTAAATTATACCTCAATAAAGCTGTTAAAATATCAAGATTTTTATACAACTCTGCAAATAAATTTCAAAATTTAGAGAAAATGAGTAATAGCTGAGAAAAATATACTTACTAAAATTGATCCCAGTACAGATAGAAAGCTTAAAAAGACTAATTTCTATAGAGAAGAAAACACAAAAATGTACCAGGCCTACATGTTTTCACAGGGAAATTAACAACAATGCAAACATAGTAAATAAAATATCATCGGACTAATGCACAATGACAAAGCTGGACTTAAAACTGAAATGCCCACTAGTATTTTAACATTGTTCTGGAGGTAGTAACCAATGCAATTAAACAAAAGAAATCAATTACAGTCATAACAATTGGTAAAGAAAAAACAGGACTGTCTTGTTTGCAGATGACATGATAGTATACCTAGAAAACTCCACAAAAATCAACGATACAACTCAAACTATAAAAAAATTCAGCAAGGTAGCAAGATATAAAACATGCAAAAATCAATAGCATTCATGTATACAAAACAATAACCAGTTAAATGATATAATGGAAAAGAAAACTTTTTGATGATGGTAGCCAAAAAGATAAAGTACAGAGAAATAAACTTGATAAGAAATGTTGAAAACCTTTGAAAACACCTATATCTGAAAGCTATACAAGTAAACTTTAACAAATAGAAAGTTGAGGTTTCTTGTTTTTGGGTTAGACTGTTCCAACATCATCAAGCTGTCGCTTTTCACATGTAATGTTATCACAATAAAAGTATCCATGAGCTTTTTTATGGATCTAGACAAATGATATACTCATAAAGTTCATATTGAAAAATAAACATGCAAGAATAGTTAAGAAAATAGTGAAAAGAAAAGGAGGATATAGACCTACCAGATACAAAAACAATCAAGAAAGCTTCTGTTATTATAACCATGTGGCACTGGTGCATGCAAGCATCAATGAAATATAAAGAAAGTTCAGAAATAGTCCTAAGTACCTACAGAAATATTGCATATGATTGGAAGTTATCTCAAATTAGTGTGGCAAAGATTATTAAAAAACTTTAATAATTAAAGATTAATTATTAATTAAAAAATGATATAAAGTATAGCCATTTGCAAAAAGATAACATTTAATCCACTGCTAACACCATATGCATGAATAAACTCCAAATGAACTGGAGATCTAAATATAAAAATAAAACTATACAAATACTAGAAGAAAGCATAAGTGAATTCCTCTAACTTGGGATTTGCATATGATAAAAATCTAGACCCAGTAAAAGAAAAGATTAATAAATTTGACCACATAAAATTTTTTTTTTACTTACATGACAAGATACAACTATATGAAAAGTCAACAGACAAATGACAGCCTGGGAGAAAATGTTTGCAACGTAATTGCTTGGGGAAGATATTCAAGTTAGTATTTACTGAATGCCTACACTGCTGAATAGTGGAGATATATGAAATCATTAAGACCCAGTCCGACCTGTCCTCACAGTTATACAGATAGATTCTGACAGGGCCAAAATAATACAAAACAAAGAATAATTCCCATTGTGATGTGCTACGGAGTAGAAATACAAGGATACATACTTATATAGTGACCTATACAGATTTTAAGGTTAAGGAAATAAATATTAAAAACTAAATAATTTTAAATAATAAATTATCCATATATAGTGAAAGTATAATTTCCTACCATTTTTTTCAGAGTTAGAAAACTGAGGTACTCCACATTTTCTTATTTGAAGATATTTTTCCTTGTGATATTCAGTTGCTGAAACAAAAGCACACAAAAGATAAGCTGAAGAAGAAATTTAGCATGCTTATTTACTGTAATATTTTGTAATTTGAAAAAAATGTTCAATTAACCTAATCAGATTATAGAAGGGAGATGCAAAAATTTAAAGAATCATATATAAAAATCACATTTGTGTGTGTATATCTCTATATATACATATACCCAATACAGACACAGAAACTTTTTTTAAAATCCAAGATTTTCGTATTTTCAACTTCAAGGCCATTTTTTTAAAAGATAAATGAAATGTAAATGTGTCCTTTATACAAAAGTGGATAGTGTTGCTGTATGAAGACCTCAGAGACGGTAATACATCTAAGGACAAGGAAGTAATATCTCTACCACACTGTTATAAAATGCAATGCTCAGTTTAGGATACTACTAAAAAAAGTAAAAAAGGTTAATTCAACAAAAATAATCAAAAGGAAAGCAAATTTAAGGGAAAGGTAAAAGGAATATAAGGAACTCTGGGTTATTTAGCTTTAAGATAAGAAAGATAAAGAATGAATTAGGTTCTGAGTTCAAATACAGTTAGTATTAATATAAAGATAGTAAGAAGTACAGAAGATGAAGAAAAAAATGAGCTTTATTGGTAAAATTTCAGTTGAACATTGGAAAGAAGTGTACAGCAAAATCAGGTAATGGGAAAGAGATTCTAGAGATGGCTAGAGAAAGAAGTGAGGAGCACCAGGGTTTGAGGGCAGGAATGGGTGAGAGAGAAACAAGCTGAGTCACACCATGGAAAGTTTTGTTAAGCTAAGAAATAAAGCTTGGGGGAATGGAGGGATGTGTTAAAAGACCTTTAAGGAACTGTTCCTGTATAAGATGCAGGATAACCTCCCCCCTCTGTCTTCCCCTGAAATCTTTAGTAATGATCTGCTTTATTCCACAGTGCATTTAATATGGATTCATGTGGGGTTTGGTTTTATTTCAATCTACAGATGTGTGTGAGATTGGGATTAACACAGGCATAAGAGAAAAGGCTAGCTCAAAACACATAGTTTTACTGCATTATATGAAATACCACTTGAGTAAATATTTCAGAGAATAAATACATGTTTGAAGGCATTTCAATTACTTCAAGGTACTTCTAAAAGTTAAATTATTCAATTAAAGTTTGGGATGGCAGTGTTTTTTAGAAAGGTTATTCCAGTTTCCGCTCTATAAGTAGTGATGGTGTTGTGTTATCTTGTTCCCAAGGACACTGAATATTTTTAAATTTCCTGATTAATATGACCAATGAAAAATGCTACCTGTAAATATAATAGACTAGATACTCAGAAGCACAATCATTTACAAAAAAATCCTTTTAAAAACTATAAAATATACTTTTAATGCAGTACTGGACTTGTTAGAAATGAAAACTGTAAGCTGAAACCATAGCTGGGGACGGGGGGCAGCAAGCGAAGAGGAAAGGCAGATGCTCTGTGGGCAAATGTCCATACCACACTGCTCTCTGGAGACAAAGCCTTCAGCAAACAAAGAAACTAAGCTGAGACCAGGATTCCTACATTGAGCTAAAGGCCCTGGAAGGAGGTTAAAGTGATCACCAGACTGGTACGGTTCCCTAGGTATGGAAAGAAACAATATGAATTTTAACTAGAGAAAAATCTTCTAAGCCTCCAGGATTCCCACAAATTAAGAGCAAGCAAATATTAGGTTATAATCAGAAAACTCTAAAACAAGCTGATAAGCTACGGCAAAATAATTGGGATAAACCAGCTAATAGTAATAAAGACAGGATTGGCTGAGTGGCGCACTGGTTAAGAGCTGGCTTGGGACGCCAGCTCTGAGCAGCAGGGCCTTGGTTTGGATCCCACATGAGGGCCAATAACACTGCCCTCTATAGCTAAAATGGTGAACAACACCTTGACCTGGAGCTGAGCTGCCATGAGTAGCCGGCGACCGCGTAGGCTGCAGCCCCTGCTTCAGTGGGCTGCCATAAGCTACCATGAGTGGCTGGCAGCTGGCGTGAGCTGCCAAGAGTCGCATTGAGCGGCCATCTAGAAGCCGGCGACCAATCTGCCTCACCTGGGAAGAGTGCAATGCTCACAATACCAACATGGGCCAGTGAAGCAACGTCCTCCACAACTAGACTGAAGAACAAAA